ACATCAGCGGCGGGGGCGGCTCCCGCCGGCCGCGTCCCGCTTCCCCGCCTCCCGGCGCATCGCCAGGCCGGGGCCCGGCCGCAGTCCGCTCCCCACATCGCTGCTGCTGGGACGGGACGCGCGCTACCCCGTGGGGGACATGGAGGGCCGAGGCCGCTCGGCCGTCTCCCCTCGGGCTCGCCGGGCCGTGGTCCCGGGGCACCGTCTCCACCCACGGGTGTACTCGTAGCTCTGTGGGGTGGGAGCGGGCGGCCCCTCACGGCCACCATCTTGACTGGCGGCCGCCATCTTGGGTGGAGCCGCCGCCGCTACTGGACGGGCGACACGGTGGGACGGGAGGTGGCCGGGGCAGGACCCGCCCGGTGGTAAATAGGCCGTTCCAGTGACAACCTGCTCCCGAGGGGTTCCGGTCCGCCTCCCCCCTCCCGCGGGGCCCGCTCCTACGGCCAAAGGAACATCTCCCCTCCCTCCTTGGTCCGCTCCGGAAACGCCCGAGCAGCTTTCGGCACACTTCGGAACTCTTCGGAGCGCCGAGCCCCACCGATGAGACTCGGGCATTTCCGGAACGGCCCGAGGGCGCTTCGGCTTTTTCCGGAAGGCGGATGGGCATTTCCGGTGTTCCGGGCGGCCGATAAACAGCCGTCGGCTTCTTAACGGCGCCTCGCGCGCGCGCACCCGCCCGCACCCTGGGGCCGGGGCGGAAGTGCGGGTGGCAGACGTCAGTTCCGGACAGTGACGGAGAGGCGGGTCAGAGGCGGCAGCAAAATGGCGGCGCCTGAGGAGCGGGAGCTGACGGCGGAGCAGACCGAGAAGCTGCTGCAGTTCCAGGTGCCGTGTCGGCGGGGGGGGCCGTGCCGGCCGGCGGGAGCGGAGGAGGCGGCGCGCTGGCAAAGAACGGGCTGGGCTGGGCCCGCTCCTCCGGCCTGCTGCGGGCCGGGGGGTACGGGGCTCACTGAGAGCCGGGGCAGGCCTCGCCTGGAGCGGGCCCGGCGGTGGGGGGCGAGAAGAGAGAGCCCCGTGGTCCCGGCCCTGTCGGGGGTAACGGTGGTCCCCGCGGGGGCCAGTGAAGCTCCTCCGTGGGGCTTGGGCTCCCTGGGCTGGGGCCTCGCTGAGGGGCCGGCCGGTGCTGTGCGTGCCCCCAGCACTTCGTTAGGAATGGTGTTCTGTCATCGCTAATTGGGGAGGCAGGAAGTGACTGCTGAATAAACCCCATTAACGCCACGCGGGGAAAAAAAACCTCCTTGGTAAGTCCCGGCTATTTTAATTAGGTAGTCTGAAAAATTCCCTTTCTTGTCATTAGCTCTGAATGGGAGAACCTTTCCTGGTGTCTTAGGAGGGTTAGCCGATGGGTTTCTATGGAATGTGGTTTCTCGGAAAATTGCTTCCAACCCTCATGGTTTGGTAATGCCTACTACGGGGAGGCCACTGGGGATTGTAATGATCTAATCTTGCTGTCTGGTACATAACAGGCGCTGGGTTGGTTAACCTTTGGTTTGCCAGGGCCTCGGGGCTGTGCAGCAGTTGAATAATTTAAAAAAAAATAGATCTACAGATGTGGCTTATTGGGGAGAAAATAGTGTTGTGGAGTTGAACTACTTAGGGCTTCTTGGTGAGAAGTAATTAAACATGGTGGTCAATGAAAATTATCTTCAGGTGTCTTGGGTTTGTTTCCAAGTTGTAGGGCATCAGGTGGTGTTCTTTGGATTGTAGAGTTCTTTTACAAATAGAGCATTTTCTTTCAATAGTGCTTTGTTTTTTCATATTTTTCTGGTGTGATGTAACTGTAGAAATACAGGGCTTAAAGGGACTAGAGAAGGCATCCAGCCCTGCCTTCCACAGCTGAGATAAGTGCAGGTGTTCTTCATCATTACAAACAGATACTTGCCAAGCCTTTACCTCTGAGTCAGGGGGATTAAACAACTTCCTGAAGTAATTAATGTGCTGCAGTGTTCCTCTGTGACTATAGCTAAGAGGAAACTTTTTTACAGATATCTCCTCTAAATCTTAACTGCAAATTAAACTGGTTGGGCAGCCTTACAGACAAACAAGGCAAAGCAATGTTAACAATTGCTTTCTCAATACTACCATTTTCTGCGTAAATATTTGAGGTTTAAGCCATTGCTTGTGCCGCACATAATATATGCGCGAAAGCTGTCCTCCAGCTCCCATTCTCTTGCTGTAAGATATCATAGTACTTATTAATCTACTGAATCTGGACAGATAGGACCAGCTGCACTCATCAGTGTCCCTGTTGCTATTTTCAAAACCCTGTGGGCAGCTGTGAAACTAAAGAATCCTGTTTCCTAGTGCTACCTGGTGTTGCCATGGCCAGCAGGCTTGGGGGCTGGAGGGGATGGAGAAGGAGTCAGAAGGAGTGATTCAGGTTTTAGTCCAGCTTCCTGTTGAGTCTTAGTGTGAAGTGGAGGGAAATGCTCCTTTCACTGTAAAGGGGAGAATTTTTTCAGATAGAAGACAGCTGCTGTCCAGAGTCTATGAAAGCTGTACTCCAGAAGGCTTTGATACCAGGATCATCTCATTCTTCTGTCCCCTGGGGTATATGAGATTAGCTTTTCACCAGGGCTGGGCTAGTGACAGACTTCACTGGTGATCCCTTCTCCTTTGGTACTCAGCACCTGGCTGAAAGGAGCTCAGGTGTGCAGTGTGGCTTGTTTCTTTAAAATGAGGTAGAGTAAATCAGTCCACCTGGAAAAGCTGGGGTTTTTTTCTTGTTTCCAAATCAGCTGGACTCTGTTAAAGAGGATTTGCTGTTTGGAGAGGATGGCTAACGCTCATTAAAATAATTTGTGTGATGCTATTGCTGCAAACGCTGCTACAGTTAACTTGTAAACCTTTCAGGGATTCCCGCTGTCTTTGCAGGGAACACTTAAATGTTTTCAAAGATAACTTTACACTTTGTTGTTATGTGCTGTTGTAACTCATTTCTACAGTATTCGTTCTGTGGTGGCAGGGCATTGTACTTTCACAGAAGGTGGCATGGCAGTGTCAATAAAACAGGAGAGCAGAATAGGAAAGAAGGGAGTGGGGATAATAGATGAGGTAAGCAATAGTAAAAGGCCCTCAATAGTGTTACAATTAAATGGAGAGCTAGAAGGGAAGCGTTGAGCAAGAGCTGTAGGCTGCCATTTACCCAGCAAACAGCTGTTCCAGGTAAAGATTCTGTTGCCCTATACAGTTTGTGCTACTTCTGCTGGAAATTCTTCCTTCCAAGGTAAAGAGGTGAAAGCCTGTTGTTCTGTTTGTGGGCCAAGCTGTTGGGGTTACAATTTAAATACATGCTTTACATTAATTCCACTGATGTTTGCTTGATGTGCTTTGATAGTGCTCATGTAAACGGCTCTGCTGGCAGGACGGTGGAAGTAGCAGCTCTCTTCCTATGGACAGGGCTGGAACAGAACAGTTGTCTGCTATCCTGCTATGGCAGGTTAATGGAGTGGAAAAAAAAAAAGAGTACCAGTATGGAGAGATAATTGGGATAAACTTGAAATTAAAGCAAAAAAAGCATTCTGGCATGCTTTCAACCTCCCATTTACTGCTGAAGCATTTTCTAATGTAAAAGAGTAAAACTAAAATAAGCATCTAAATTTTTCGTCTGTCAAGACTTTGTTGTTTTGACATCTGTAGAGAGAAACTTGCTTTGAACAGCTTAAGAAAGCTGTGGAGATACAGTTGCATTTGGGAGATGGAGGAAACAGCAAAGCAGCTTTTGTAGGATCTTGTTATTGATCTGTGCCCATTACACTTGGGCTGATGTCTAACATACTTATAATATGCAAATACAAAGTAATGGACGGTTATTTGCAAAGGAAAAAAGGTAGCACTCATGATACCATCTCCAAATGGGGAAAACAAAATGCTCAGGACTGAAAACATCTCTTGTTTAAAGAAGAGGGAGGAAATAAAAAAACTCCAGGCAGCTTTCCTCCTCAGTGCATTGCGTATTGATCAAAACCCTCTTAAAGGCATTTGCTGTAATACTCAAAGAGAAACTCTCAGGAAAGGCTTTTTTTGCTGCCTCAAGTCAGATGTTCTTTACCCTTGGAAACATAATTCTCTGGAATTTGGCAGTGGGTTGGGAGCTAAGAGCAGTGCCAGTTGCAGTCCTGTGGATTTGCATCTCTTACACTCCTATGTTGAAACAGAGTATCTGCAGAGGGAACAATTTCGTAAGTCCAGTTTACAACCTTTGTCCGCTCAGGAGTATTCCTTCTGCCTTTGATACATGGAATTGCACTTTCCACTACTTCAGTACTGAGAAGATTTTAGCATTCTGAGCAGTCTCAAAGGTGAGAGATGCAAATAATCCAACAGCAGCTTTGGTATGTTTTAGGTCAGTGCTCTGCTTTAAGGAGTTTGAGAAGGCAATGTCGAACTTTCCTGGCTTTTGTGGTACTGAATGTTTTTTTTTGTAAATGTTATCCACTGCCTTGAGCTTGGATTTATATTTATTTGAAGGTTTGAGGGTGCTAGTTTAATGGGATAAATTTTATTTTTAAGAGGGGGCCTTATCTTTTTATTACTTACTGTGTCTAAGATGTGTGCTCTGTGAGACAGAGTAGCAAAGTAGTAGTTGGTGACTGATTTGAAGACAGTGTTTGTTCTCTTAACCTTAATGCTACTAAGGTACAATTAATGCTGCTTTGTCTGGCGTATGAATAGTGCAGTTGGCAGCTAGCTGTGAGCTTCACCAGAAACGCTGCAACTGGTGCAGTGGAAATGGTGTGGTGCTTCAAGTTTGTAATCTGTTTCTGTGACTAAGGTGAAGCAGTAGCTGTAGAAGGTACTGAGATAATAGTTTAAATGGTCTTTGGGAGTGATAACGAACAGTATCAGTGTTTACCAGCAAGTATTGTCTGAACTGACAGTTGAACTGTCTTCTGGGGTTCCTTTATATTGAGAGCAAGTTGTTCTGAACCAGTGGGTGTCTTCCATAACATCCTGGAACTGGAATGTGGCTGTCTCAGGGAGTGTGTCAAAGTAACATTCAAGAAGGTGTTCAGTTTTTAAAGCTGCCTTTACACAGGCAATTTCTTTTCCCTGCAACGTTTCATTGTGCAGCTTCATTGATCAGAAGAGCGGTGGGAGCACTAGGCACAGTGCTACTGGGGTGGCTCTGTCACTTCTGTTTCATGTTGAGGGCTACTGTATTAAAATGCTAAGGAAAAAAAAAAGTAGACTCACCTCCACGGAGAAGTGTTGTAGAAGATGCTGAGATCTGGCAACAGCGTGCCTGGTGCTGTAACGTGGTTGGGAAGGGGTGAAATTTCCAGCCTGTAGCCTGTCTCTGTGGAGCTCAGTAGGTCTTGCAAATGCTGCAGTGGTTCAGTACTTATTGAATGCTTGTTCATAGTTCTGCACAGCTGTTACTTTGCTGCTTTCTGACCTAAAACTGCTAAAGCATTTTGCATAATTGAAAAAAGAGAGAATGTTGGGTGGGTAGTGAAGCCCTGTTATTAGTGCTGAGTGATAATTCAGGCATTTAGAGACAAAGGTGTGAATGAGTTTGAGTCTTGTAAATTTTGCGAGCACCAGCAGAAATTCCAGGGTGTTAAGGAATGGTAATCAGAAGACTTTCAAGGCTTTGAAATACACACGTTTTTACTCTGTTGTAAAATCAAATAGAGTAAATTGCAGGTGCCTTTTAAGATGTCCTTTTAGAAGGACAATGAAGTGCCTTCTGTAGGAATCTGGGGTTAAAAAAAAATCAGAATAGAAAACCTAAATTTTACTCAAGTGAAGCAAATCTTTAAAGATTGTTAAACCCCAAATTGTGAAGCAAGTGATAAATGGAGGTGTTCTGGCGGCAATGGCTGAGTTCACTGAGCTTCATTTCTTCTAGGAAATTGACTTCTGTAGTGCCTCCTTACAAGGCTTGCTGCAGGCTTACTTTTTAATATTTATACACCACTGGGCAGTGACTTGAAGTGGTTTTTTTCCTGAGTGACTGCAATTATGTAGTTAATGTCAGCAATGCTTTGAACAGTCTGGTTCTGTGCATCAGAATGCAGCAATGATTTTTTGCCCAGTAGATTGGGGAGAAGGTAAGAGATCTATGGAGACTTCATGAGAGAGGATTCAAGAAATGCTTGAAGTTTGAGCCCAGAGCTTGAATAGGGCATCTGTCCACAGTGTGACTTGGGTGGAAATAGTATATGGAATGTTTGAATGGGGGCAGGGAAGGGAGTAGATGCACCATCCACCATCCTTCTCCAGGAAAACCATAGTTCAGTGCATTCTTAAATGGTCAGCTTGTCAAGACTGCCTCAGGGGCTTTTAAATGAAGCAAGAAATGGGGGAGATGAACGGAATTAAATAGGATTGCTAACAATGGATTGGATTGCAAGGTGTAAAAGAAACCATGTACGAGGATTTGTATCAAATCACTGCTCTGTGTTTGCAATCATCGTGAGCTGCCTCCCGCAGCAAAGCTACTCTCTGCTGTACGGCAGACTCGGGGAATAAAAGTTCTAGCTCTTTGCCACACTCCTTCGTGGCTGAGACCTCCTCAGGTGTGGCAGAGAAGAGCGTGTGGTGCTGGCAGGCAGAGGCCAGGCAAGGCTCTGGTGTAATTCAGCTCGCACAGCCTCTGCAGGTCAGCAGCTCCGGCTGTCACAGTGCGAGCAGTTTGGTGGCAAAGCAGCCTGTTTTGCTTCCCGGCTCCATCCCTGAGCTGTCCAGGGAGATGCACCATCTGTGGGGTTACAGCAGCTGGCTGGGGTGGGTCTGGAGAGAAATCCACCAGGGAAGAACATGAAGCATTAAGGATTGGTGGAATTCTCTTGTCAAGATTGACCTTACTGGAGAAATTGTCATGTTTTGTCTCCTTATATCACCGGCACATCTTTGTGTTGAATTTGTTACACTGCTTATGAAGAGTATTGTTGTTGCTTCTGTCATTGTGTATCCAAGCTAAATAATGGCTTCTGAAGGTATAACTGCTTTCTTGGATTTCTGTTGCCCAGTTATAAAAAAAACCAAACACACCTTATTCCTTTTAATTTTAAAAAACAGTTTCCTTCAAAATTGCCAGCACTGTTAATGGTGTCACCTGTGATGATCTTGCACTGACTGATTCAAAGGTTAGCAGCAGCACACTTATGGCTTCATGTATTTCTGTGAAAGTGTGTGCCTTGGCTCTGGTGGTAGGTGCAGGATACAACCCTGAAATGTCCGTTCAAACACCTCACAGCGAGTGGTGTGGGGAGAGATGTTTGTGGCACAGTGACGGGGATGTTCGCTTCAGCAAAGATTTGTCTCCATTCAAGAGGCGCTGACGTGGCTTCCTGTAATAACAAATACTGTTGTTTGATCTCTTGTGGATGAGTTCTGAGTGCCACAGGGTTAAAACGTGCCTTCCAAACATTGATATGAGAGCCCAGTGGCTTTGAGGTCTGCTCATGTGTTTGGACTGTTTTCTGCTTCAGCTTTTGCCTGTGTTGGACTGGATTTTGGTGGTTTTTAACTATAGAATCCTCTGTAATGCTGGAAAACGCTCCCTTCATTAGTGCCTGGCTCATTTTGGTTTTGGTCTGTTTATGCTTGCCATGAGTGAAGTAATGGTCGTATTGGGTTTCCAGAAATTCTTTGCTCATCTTTTAAGTTGATGCTTTGAGGTGATGTTTGAGTGCATCGGCCTGGCATATCCTTCCAGAGTGAAATTTCTGGGCAATGTTGTGTTAGACTGTTGACTGGGCTGAGTGTGGTTGTAGTTACGGGCCTTGGGCTCTGCTGAGAACTGGCTGATGCTGGAAGAGTGCAAAGGCCTGTTTGAGGCTTCCTGTGTGTTTACGGGTTTGGGTTGGTTTGAGTTGCTCCACTCTTAAACTGAGAGCAGAGCACTTTAAAAAAAAGAAAAAGTATTGTGGTAATGTGTTGTGGTAACTCCTGTCTGTGCTCACGTGTTGCAAAGAACAGTAAAAATATAGCACTTCCCTGACACTCCTCTGCTTTTATTCTCTCTTAGGACTTGACCGGCATAGAGTCCATGGACCAATGTCGTCACACACTGGAGCAGCACAACTGGAACATAGAGGTACCACTGCAAAGAGGATTCGTAGTGATTTCGAGTACTCTGTGGGGAGGGGAGGCCCTACCTGTAAGATTTAATGTGTCAAACACTGAATTTACACTAGTAGCTCTTCATAACAGTGTCTGGATGTTGTCGGAGAGCTGGTTTCAGAAGGACAGAGCGGATTTGTTACGGCTGTGAACAATCACTGGACTGGCACAGTAACTTCCCGGGGTGCACGTGCACGGGCTGCCATGGAGAAGGCTTTCCATGCAGAAAAGAGTATTGGTGGATACCATTTGTAATAAGTCATGCTTACCCAGTGCTCTGAGGCTATGGACAAATGATACCTACTGTTAGTGCCCAAAGTATTAAAAAAAAAATATTACATTTTCTGCATTCTTGAATGTCTAAAAACTCCCTTTGCTCTTTCTTGTGTCAAAGGCAGCTGTACAGGACCGACTGAATGAGCAAGAAGGTGTCCCAAGTGTCTTTAATCCTCCTCCATCGCGGCCGTTGCAGGTCAATACAGCTGACCACAGGATCTACAGCTACGTTGTCTCAAGGCCACAGCCAAGGGCAAGTTATCTTATAGTGGATTTTGCCCTGCTTCTTGGGTGACTGTTTGTGAGCAACAGAACTTGCAAGCAGGGAGAGGAATTGTTTTCTTTGTATGCTGTTATCTCCTTTCTAAACATTTTATCTTCTGAAAACAAAATGTAGACCTTTTCCTTCAGCCTGTGTTACTGCTGTGGATATTTTCTCCATGGTGTCATTCACAGTGTGAGACAAGCTTCTTTATCATGGAGTGTCTTGCTGTGGCATAGTAAAGCTTGTTCAGTTGGAACAAAGAACTGTCTGCTCCTTATGGCAAAGCAATAATATTTTTTCTTTTAAGAGCTCCCCTAAAATTTATATTAACTTGAACACAGTATCAATTACTTGCATTAATGTTTCATAAACAAATTTGCATGAGCACCTGTAAGACTCAGTGCTGTTAATCCTTTTGTACAGTTAAGAAAATTAGCACAGAGCAAAAGCATTGCTGCTCGAATAGTCAGTGATGCTGGTTTTTCAGACATGTCGTGTTGAATTCTGACTGAACCATGCTAGTCACTGAAATTGGATTTGATGTGTCTGAAGCCATAAAAAATATTGCTGGGCTTCTTTGCAGTGGTTGGAGCACTGATACTCCTGTGTGTACCTATGTGCTTGATGCTGGTGGCCACTTTGCTTTAGCAGGCCTGCTCCTGGCGTGGAGACTGCTCTAATTCTTTGTTTGTAATTGCAGGGCCTGTTAGGATGGGGTTACTACTTCATAATGCTTCCATTCCGATTTACCTATTATACATTACTTGATATATTTAGGTAAGTATTTTTTTTGTGCTGACTCATGTATTGACTGCATTAAGGCACGCTGTAGTGTAGATTTGGCTGTACCTCTGTCACTTGGATCTTTTAATGGCAGATTTTCCATTTATTTGCTGAACTGGCTTTATCTGTATCTTGGTAAAGTTCCTACACTGTTTAGTAAGAAATCTTATTGCAGAGAAAAAGAGCATCTTGCAGCCCTGTAAGTGAAATATTTAACTGGGGCTCTAACTCCATGCAGCTTTACAGTTTGGGTGCCACACAAAGGGGATGCAGAACAGTGTCAAACTGTCTGGTATTCTTGGACAAACAGCTTCATCAGAATCGTGCTGGGCTGCAGGTTAACCTGCCTAATACCTGTACGTTACCTGGCAAAACCCAAACTGTAAGCACCTCTCCTTTTTCCCCTTTGGTGTCTGTTGTGTCTCCTCCCTTTACTGCCCCAACGGGCTACCTCATCTTGCCTCCTTACAGCATTGATAGAGAGGAAGGGAATGTTGAAAGGTGGTAAATATTCAGCAGTCCTACCACCTGTGGTGTTTGAGCAGTTTATCCTGTCGTATTACTTTTCTTCCTTAAAGAGTTTTCCAAAGTTTGGTGTGACTTCAGTGCATCCACAGAACTAAACTAGCATCCATAGAGCTAAACAACATTGATATCTGCCTTGCAGTTAAGTTTTTTCAGCCTCAGAGGAATGGCTGTTTATTCTGTCTTCATTGGACTCCTAGTGTAATGTTCTCTTTCTGCAGCGCTTTGCATTCTGGAATTGTTAGTCTTGCAATAGCAGAAATGCAGTTTTCAAAGTTATCCAGACAAAACTGTGTGGCTTTTAACAGCCTGTCTTTGACTAAATTTTTCAAACCTCACACTGTTTGTGTGGCTCATGCCTGATGCTTCAGAGGAAGTTGAAACTTAATCATGCAGAATTCAGATACTTGCTGATGCCTGGCATGAGATAATATTTGACGGAGGGGTCTTCTGTAGTAATGGTATCACTTTAGAGCAGGTGGCAGTTTAGGTTGTTATTACAAATGCTCAAGGGTCTCAGCTGTGACTTTTTTCCTCCTTATGAAGACCAGCAACTGTCTGTGGAAAAGAAACTGTTCTTCAGAAAGTCAGTAAGCTGAATTTCCAGTGTCCTTTGCTTCCTTCCTAGGTTTGCTCTGCGTTTTATACGCCCTGATCCTCGTAGTCGGGTCACTGACCCAGTGGGTGACATTATTTCATTTATTCATATGTTTGAGGAAAAATATGGGAGGATACACCCTGTCTTCTACCAGGGAACTTACAGCCAGGTCAGTGTCACATGTTGGTACATAGATCCTGGGGAGATGGAGAGTGGGGATTTCACCAGATGGTATTGGGGCCTACGTGGCAAAATTGCTTTTCATTTAAAAGCCCAGCATTTGTCCCCAAACTCTTTAACGGGGTAACGGAGAGCTAGTGAAAAAGTGTATTGGAAAACCAGTGACTGCCAGGCTTGATGGTATGCCAAGCCTGCAAAGTTGGAAAGCAAAGCTGCTCTGACTGTTCCTCGACCGTCTGTATGGCTCTGTAGCCAACAGCTACTCTTTGTAATCCTGCCTTTGTTTTTATAAACTGACGTGGTGTGCCTGAATCTGTCCTTCTGTTCACCAAATTGGAATTGACTGCCTGGGCTTGTACTAAAATGAAAGTCCAGAACTTGGTGTGGGTCCTCAAAATTGAGAGAGGAAGCCCCTGAAGAAATTATGGGAGGTGAGAGTTCCGGATATTAGATCTGGGCTGATGGTGCTGTCTGTAAAAGTGGGACTTCCCAATGGGTACTGCCTCTTCTGCAGCTTCTCTCAGCCTAGCCAAGTGAAGGGCCTTCTGCAGTGCATCCCAGCAGACAATTGGATCAGCACTGCTTTCTGAGTGCTGGAGAAGAATGTGGAGTCTGTATCTGCTCCATGCTGCACAGCGATGGAGCTCGCCGCCTCCACAGCTCTTCTGGGCCCCTCTGTCTTGCCTGGAATCCAAACTCAAACAACCACGGAATGGTTAGGCCACTAAAACTCAGTGCCAGTAAAACAGGGAGCCTGTTGTGCACTTATCCTGTGGTCTTGTTAAGAAATGCTCTTGGGTGGGTGGAATCCAGAGACCGTAGATGCAAAAAGGGGTTTTTGTTGTTTATTTGTTTTTGTTGGGGCCTGCAGCATTATTGAGTTATCTTCTTTTTTAGTAGTGTTTTCATTTGATGTGGTCTGAAGATTGTGTCCTGTGCAGGCTAGAGCAGAGAGCTCAGCCTTGGCTGCTGTGAGTCTGAGGGGTGAAGGAGGGCTCTTCACTGCCAGCTGAGTCTGGTGGGACGGTGGGGGGTATCAATCTGTGCAGTTGCCTACCTGGCTTCCCTCTGAGTTCAGTGTTCTCCAAAGCCACATCCTGAAAGGAATGTGAAAGGACAGCACTAAATGAGGGTTTAGTCAGAAGGTCTGACAGGTTCATCCTCCACTGCTGCCTCATTAAAACCGTGGTAGTGGCAGACTAATGGCCTGGGTAAATGTTGTTGAACTGTGTCACACAAGTCTTCTGGGTGCTGCTTTCCCCTTGCCTAGAGACCTCATAACTTAACTTCCTCTGCTCTTATGCCAAGGCACTGAATGATGCCAAGCGGGAGCTGCGCTTCCTGTTGGTTTATCTTCATGGAGATGACCACCAAGACACAGATGAATTCTGCCGGTAGGTAGGACAGTTTTTCCAAATAGTTATCTTTGCACTTTAAATGCAACTTCATTCACACAATCTCTTCTCATCCCCTAGCAATACACTGTGCGTACCCGAGGTGATCACCCTCATAAACACTAGAATGCTCTTCTGGGCTTGCTCAACCAATAAACCAGAGGGATACAGAGGTGAGTGTGTCCCTCCTGGCCTTTACCTGTCTCTGGGACAAACTTACGTGTTTGAAACACACTGTTGGTTTTTGTGCAAGGAGACAAGAGATTTTGGGATTGCATGGGGAAATACATGTTTTTCGTGTGGTATCTCAGAGGGCCTGTTTGGATGCCAGAGAAATACCTTTTGTTCTTCACCTCTGCTGTTCCAAGTGTTGCTGGGCACTCCTTGTTGTGTGCTCTTTGCTGCTGGCATTCAAGCTGCTTTTAGTGCATTGCTAGTGGGAGTTGGTGGGTGTGTGCTGAGGATTAAACTGAGTGCAGAAACAAGTATCTATAACTAGCTGTGCCCTTAATGCTGGTTTGTATTACGCCTGAGGCCAGGAGTGACTTGTTAGGTGCATTCTTTCCCTTTCAGAGACTTCATTCCACACCCAGTCCCTTTCTCCTTGAAAGCCCACAGTGAGGTCTTTTAAGTACTGTCTTTCCAGAGCTGTTGATACCTGGCCTGTCAGCGTTTTTAGTAGAGTTTTGCTGCAAATCAGGGCTTTTCCCAAAGTTCTGCTTCTGCCTCCTGTGTCTTTTCTGCACCTTCCCGTTTCATGGCAGGAGAGGCCAGGAGTCGTGGTTCTAAATCTGGGTCATTCCTGGCTTCATAGGTGAGCTACCAGCTATCAGCACCTTGAAAGAATGGCTTTCTAAGGAGATATTCTTCTCCTTATTGCTGTTTCATTCCTGCAATGCTTTGGAGTCACAGCCTAGAAAGCAGAGCTGGAAGAGATCACGGGCTTTCATTTAATCCACAAGTTGCTCTGATTTAATTTGGAGGGTTCCTTTGGTAATGACCACTCCAACTGGCATGATGTGCTATGCATTCCTTGAGGCGGAGGTGGTATTTGTTCACAGGTGAACAATAACTTAAAAGCCCTTGATCTGCTTCATTCCCTGCTTCAAGACAGAGCCTGCCGCTGGCAGAAACAATTTAATTTTGTTCTGAAATGTCCGGGAAGGACACCCCTGCCATCTTCCCCATGACAGTATCTTCCAGAGTCTGGTCATTCTTAATATTAGCAAGTGTTGCCCTGTGCTTGACCTGTTTAACTCCCTGCAGTTTAAACCCAGGGCTTTTTGTCCCATTCTGAATGGACATTCAAAGCAAATTACTTCCTGCTTGATTTCAAGAACCTTTTTGGTTATTTGAAGTCTTGGGTTTTTTCCCCCTCAGTCTCTGTCCTCCAAGCCATTTCCTCCCATTGCTAATTCATAGGGTTTAGTTTGTAAAATAGGGCCAGAGGCCTTTTCTGGCTTGGAAGGAGACAGTGCCTGTGGAAGCTGCTTTTCTGGGCTGCTGGTGATGGAAAGGGTTTGTGCTGTACCCTCTTGCTCACCCTTCTGGATGGGGCAGTCAAAGTGATGTCTGTGCCTGTTTCCCAGTCTCCCAGGCCCTGCGAGAGAACACGTACCCATTCCTGGCTGTGATCATGCTGAAGGATCGCAGAATGACAGTAGTTGGGCGGCTAGAAGGCCTCATCCAGGCTGATGACCTCATTAATCAACTGATGTTCATCATGGATGCCAACCAGACGTACCTGGTGTCCGAACGCTTGGAAAGGTATGATGGGACCTGAGCTCCAGCAATGCAGACCTTGTGGAGGCAGGCTCTGCCCCCTTCCTCCCTCCTGACACCATATATAGGCAGGTAGGTCAGCATCTGTTCTGTAACACAGCCAGTGGGCTCTCCTCTTCCCAGTACCTTGCTGGTCCATAGATTCAGGCCACTCTGTAGCCAAGGAGCTGGATGTGTCACCCATACAGACCCACTACTAAGAGATGGGTGTGAGCATTCTACTGTTTTCCGCAGTTGGAGCACACCCATAGTGTGCTGGAGCTCTGCAGGTAAAGCTTGGACAACAGCCAGGAGAAGCCAAGTGGGAGCAGAGGCATTGCAGGCAGGAGGAGCTGGTGTCTACAACCTGAGGGTGGGGGAGCTTTGCTGCCTGGGCTGGCTCTCCTGAACTCTGACTGCATTGCTGGTGGTGCCTTGTGAGCACGAGCTCTATAGGGACATGCAGGCTGTGTCCAAAGTAGAATGTCACCTTCTGGTCTTCTGCCTGCCTCTCCTCTGTGCCCCTGTACTCAGTACTGGTGGGGCTGTACGTCAAATACTGTGTCTGGTTTTGGGCCCCTTGGTACACAAGAGACATTGAGGTGCTGGAGGGAGTTCAGAGAAGGGCAGTGAAGCTGGTGAAGGGTCTAAATAATGACTCTGATGAGGAGCAGCTGAGGGAACTGGGGTTGTTTAGTCTGGACAAAAGGAGTCTGAGGGGAGACCTTATTGCTCTCTATAGCTACCTGAAAGGAGGTGGTTGTTAAGGTGAAGGTCAGTCTCTTCTCCTAACTAGGACAAGAGAAAATGGCCTCAAGTTGCACCAGGGGAGCTTTAGATTGGATATTAGGAAAAATTTCTTTACCAAAAGGGTCAAGCATTGGAACAGGCTGCCCAGGAAGTAGTTGAGTCACCGTCCCTGGAGGTATTTAAAAGACTGGTAGATGTGGTGCTGAGGGACATGGTTTAGTGGTGAACTTGGTGGTTTTAGGCTAATAATCCAACTCGATCTTAAAGGTCCTTTCTAACCTAAATAAGTCTATGGTTCTGTGGGTTTCTGCAGGGGACCCGGGGACACGTTTCGATGCCTCTGGTTTCTAAAATGCACAAGGAATTGTTGGAAGGAGATAAAACTGTGAGGAATCTGAGGAAGGAGGCAGAAATCTTGGGCACTGCTTGTGTGCTTCTCACCCAGCTGCAGTGCAGGAGACATCCTCTGTGGTCAGTTCACTTCCACTCAACCTGGGGAAACCCTTTGTGCGCTGGGGACTGTGGAGACTCAGGTTGCCTTTTAGGAGCTGGTAGTCGTCAGCCCTCTCAGTGAGGTGTTAACTGATGTGTGATGAGTTTGAGGCTGTACCTGCACCCTCAGGTCTTCACTTTGAGGCCTGCTAGCTCTGATCACTCCCTGCTCACGTTTGCAGGGAAGAGAGGAACCAAACCCAAGTTCTGAGGCAGCAGCAGGACGAGGCATATCTGGCATCCTTACGTGCGGACCAGGAAAAGGAACGTAAGAAGAAGGAGGAACGGGAGAGGAAGAAGAAGAAGGAGGAGGAAGTGCAGCAGCAAAAACTAGCAGAGGAGAGACGGCGACAGGTGAGAGCAAACAGACTGCTGGAGAGGCTGGTGTACCCTCTTGGAGGCTCAGGTTGTGTAGAAGCAGTAGGGCTTTCTTGTTGGATTGAAGATGCTTGGGGTTTGAGTGTCCTCCAGGCCTCCTGGAGCAGCTGTGCTGCAGGGGACAAGCACAAAGGTCAGTTCAGTGCGTGCCCCTTGCTCCTGCTCCCTCCTTTCTTTGCAGACACTGCAGGAGGAGAAGGAGCGGAAGTCTGAATGCCTTCCTCCTGAACCACATCCTGATGACCCGGAGAGCGTTAAGATCATTTTCAAGCTGCCTAACGATTCCAGAGTGGAGCGGCGATTCCACTTCACACAGTCGCTGACGGTGAGCTGGGGGCAGAACTGATGGGCTTCCCAGAGTCAAAAAACAGTCAGGAGATACTCTTCAGGTGGCTCAGCAAAGCTGTGCTTCCATTGGACATTGCCAAATGGTGACCTTTGCTGAGAGCCTTAGCAGGCAGAGTTGTTCCTGGGTGAGGAGAGTGTCTTGGGGCCTGGTCCCACCAGCTTAGAAGAGAGAGGTTGTGGCGGGGTGTGGAAAGGGAAGAAACTTTTTCTTCTCCTGAAAAGCTGAGTCTCTCGTTGTTCTCTGTTAGTAAGAGTCTGAAACAGTGTCTGGACTCCCCAGGTGCTCTGTGACAAGTCCAGTTTCATACCTGCAGAGAAAATGGCTGTCTCACGTCTAAAACACAGCTATGGTGCCGATTTGGTACCCTGTGAGATGCCATGGATGCGCTCCGGTTGTGTCATTGCTCCCCCAGCTGGCAGTTAATTCTGTGCTTCTTTCCCAGGTGATCCACGACTTCTTGTTCTCCTTGAAAGAAAGCCCTGAAAAGTTCCAGATTGAGGCCAACTTCCCTCGCCGTGTCCTGCCCTGCCTCCCTACAGAGGAGTGGCCCAACCCGCCCACGCTGCAGGAGGCCGGACTCAGCCACACGGAAGTCCTCTTTGTGCAGGACCTCACGGACGATTGACACTTTTCCAGAAGACACAAAATGGAAAGAGAAATTCATATTATTATTATAATACAATATTTTTTTTAAAAGACTGCGTACAAACGAGGGATCAGAGACCACATTGCCTGTGCCAGCTGTGCTGTGTGTGTGCACTGGCGAGAGGAGGTGTGTGCACGTCCTCGCACACCTGTGTACACAGCCATCCCCTACACTTGGAGGGCAGAGAGGGAGGGGAGCTGGTGTTGCCCCTCCGCCTTCCCTGGGGAGGAACAGGAATGGCAGCTCTCGGTAATTATTGCTTTTATTGATGACAATAATAATAAAACCCCAACAACTTGACATCTCGTGAAGATTTGATACTCTGCTGCTCCTGACAGCCAGAAGACCGGGCACCTGAATGTGCTGGGAGAGGGTGGGGGGGAAAGGGCTGGACAGAATCTCTTCAGCTTCCCTCTTGTGTATAAATATCTTTCTTCTAATATTTCTCTTGCTTTGTAATGACCAAAGGAGAATGGGGTTGACTATAGTATTAACTTTTTGATAAAGAGCTGGTTCGATTCTTACCTGTGTGGGGTCTTGCCCAGGGTTCTTAGCCTGCGTAGTGTAATAAACTCTGCCTCTAGCATGTCTGTGCCCATGCTTTCTGCCTCTGACCCCCCCACCACAGCCCAGCGCTGGGGAGGGGGTTCCAGGGGCTGTGCCTCGCTGATCTTCTGGCCTTGAATGGGTGGCTCTGTGCCAGCAGAGCTGCTGGTGTAAGAGAAACACCAGTGTGTAGACACAGGGGGGAAGGCGGTGCAGTTGGTGCTGCCTGTGGCAGGAGCTTGGTGCTGGGGCTGGACAGGACAAGTCCTCCTGGGACAAGTTAGAGGTGTGTGTTGGGGGGGAAAAAGACAAACCAAAGAAGGGTGGGTGTAGGCCTTTTGGCTTGGCCAAAGAGCTCCTGTCCAAAGGGAGAGTGGTGGCAGCCTGTTCTTCCCCACCTCCTGGTCACCTCTCTAAGGACAGGTCCCCCTGCTCACTTGCCTGCACAAGCACAAAAGGCAGCAGGGAGGTCTCTCTGCCCCAACCCCTTCTGAAGACTGCAAGCTGAAGTAGACCCAGCCCCCTTTCCTGGTGGCCCCTGGTGGCTTTCTTACCAGGGAGAAGAGATCCCTTGTTTTCCTCCCAAAGGAAGAGGTGTTCCCTTTCTGGCAACAGGGCCTTCTGCAGCAGCAACCCTGCTCTTAACCTTGGGCAGGCACAGCTCCTCCACCTTCAGATGGGCCCAGCCTGGAGCTGCTGAGGTCCTCTGGGGCTGGGCTGGTCTTGTCTCCCCACCAGCCACGGAAGCACAGGGATCGCCTCTTCCCTGGCTGGGTATGGCCATGCTGGAGGGCTGGGCTGTAGGAGGGGGTGGAGCCAGTGCTGCTGGAGCTACCTGGGAAGATCATGCTGTCCCAGGGTGGCATCTAGGAGGACTTCCCATCTCAATGCAAGCTGTGAAGGATCTCCAGGTGGGAGCAAGATGGTCAATGGTGCTGCTGGATCATAGACCCTTCTGGGGCAGAGAACCCTGCTAGATATTGCTTCCAACCTTGGGGTGTCCTCTATGCCCTTCTCTGGGGTTCCTCCAGCCTCTGTGCCCTCCTTCCACCTGCTCAGTGGTGGCCTGGGGACACCATCCCTGACCAGAGTGCTAGCCTGGCCTCAGCACACACACCCCCCCACAACGGGGACCCAACGGGGCCACCCCGGCCCCCCTCGAGACAAGAGGCGGGGCACAGCGTGTTGGTATACATCATACATTTATTAGTGAATATCCCTCTCAAAATCAGCCACAACATTAAAAAAAATAATGATTGCACTACTTGGTCAAGCAGAACTAGCAACTTTCATTTTAAAAAAAGTACAAATCTGTTAAAAATTTCAATCAGTATAATACACATATATATAATACAACATACTAGTTATGTTAAATGCTACAAAACCAATATGATTCCAATGGAATGGAAAAAAAACAAACACTTTTAGAGCTTTAAGAACCTTTTTTTTCTATATATTAGCCTTTTTTCAAATACATACATGGGAAAAATGAGGTAACTGTAAAATGTGCAAGTAACAGAGCAAAAAAAATTATATATATATATTTATATATATATATATATATATAAAAACTTTCTAACACAGAACACACGTCCTAGCACCTTCCGGGGAGCCGCGGGGGCCGCGGGGGTCCCACCGGAGGGCCCGGGGACTGGTATAATAGAACAGTAAACAGTCCACTATCCCACCACAGGAAATCATTGGTAAACAGTGGTATCTACAGCGCAGTCAGCAATCACAAACACCCTAAATAATTGTTTTTTAGTAATTTTTTTTTTTGTCGTTTTTTCTTTTTGTTAATTTTTTTTTTTTTAAATGTGACATTGGGAATGTTGTTCAATAGACATTACAGCAGAGATTCTAGGTAAGCTATTATTCAAGTGTTTTGACCTGTGAAGTCCTTTAAATTTTGACTTTAAACTATTGGAGCCCAGAGAATTCTCCCTAGCAAGGTCCTCTGATTATGAAAGTCTCCAGGTCAAATCTCTCCATTTTTCTCATGTATTCACACTTTTTAATGAGGTTGTTATTCTAGACTCAGTGAACTTTCGTTATTCAAGTAAATTGAAGATTTATCTATTTAAGAACTGATTAGTCTCTTCATGCTTTTTCAGTTCTTTTCTATATATGTAAATGCTATTCTTATTTGCTTCCACTTCTACAAGTCTGATACTCTACAACTTCAGTAAGGCCCATGTTTTTAGCTAACTGCCACCTAAAATGCCTTTTTGGAGGATAATGACAAGATTGAATGTAGATCTTGACATGCAAAACCTTCATTTCATTTCATTTCATTTCATTTCATTATTTCAAATTCACTCCCTTTGTCTCACATATGACTCTGCTTTTTTATAACAGCTTTCTATATGTTTGAAGGGTATTGTTGGGGGGGGGACGGCCCTGAAAAGTCTCACGGTCCTGCTGTGGCGTTGCGGACATGGGCAGTACAGTGCATGGCAGTATCAGCTGAGCACAAAAACCCCCCTCTCCCCACCCCCCCCCTTCACCCCACAGCCGGCTAGACGTAGCCAAGACCACGTTCCAAGCTGGTCAGACATGCATGCATATTTTTTTTTGTGAACATTTACATAGGGCTGGGCGTCCGCTCGGAGGCTCCCAGGCGTCAGCAAACACGCGCCGCGGAGGGGAGGGTGGTCCCTCTCACCACCGCCGCCACCGCCGCCGCCTCCCGTCACCCTCCTGGCTAATTAATCATGCAAAACAACGGCCACGCGGGATTGCTGGAGCCGGGCGGCGGCGGTGGCTTCGCTCCTGGGCCCTGGCATGGGCATGGAGGGGGATATGGCGGCTGGGGGGCTGCTCACAGCTCCCCCTGCCCCATAGCACTGAAAATACACCATGAGGTGATGGATAAATCCCCCACCACCCGCTCCGGGGACTCAGGGGGGCACCCGCCGCAGCCTGGCTGGGCCCCCCCCGCTGCCCACCGGCCGGGGGCACCGCGCCACGCCGTCCAGCCAGCAGGACGGGGGCACGGGGCTATGTCGATTGATGGCGGCGGGACAGAAAAACAGCGGGAGCCCCATGGCACACCGCACGCCCATGGCCGCCGGGACGGGGCTGGGGTGTCCCCCCCCACCACCAGGCCTGGCTGCCCCACAGGACACCACATGGCTTGGCCCCGGGTGGGCATGGGGGAATGAACGGGGAGAGGGGCTGGGGCCGCACCGTCCTGCCACCGGGGAAAGACCCCAAGCAGCCATAACCCTCCAGGGCTCCCCAGGGCAGCCGAGGCAGGAGAAGGGGCTGCCGCCGGGCTGCGTGCGGGAGTGGGGACGGCGGCGTTCCTGCCCCGGCCACGCCACGGGGTTGCTGGTGTCCCACCTTGGCCGTGCTCTGCCGGCCACCTCCTCCGGCTGCCCCCGGGGCTGGCTCAGGGTGCCGTCCGTCCGGCATCAAACCCGCGGCGCTCCCTCCTCTCTCCTCCCCGCGTCCTCCGCGAGCGACGCCGAGGGGAGGTGCCGCCCGCGCGCCGGTGGGTCAAACGGCCACGGAACCGAAAACGCGACGGAAAAGGAAAGGAAACGAGGGGGGAGGGTGGGGGGAGAACCAAAAAAAACAAACCATAAAAACAACAACAACAGAAAAAAAAAAGTGACTAAGGGAAAAAAACACTAATTCCCTAGTGGAGTATAAAGACCTGGAAAGTGATGGAGCAACAACAGCGTCTTTGGAGCGCGGAGGGCACGGCCACGCGCCTCCCGCCTCCAGCACAACACGATTCGGGGCCCCGGGAGCGCAGCGGGCAGGCGTCCGGCCGAGTCCGTGCCCCGGCGGGGAGGAGGAGGGCTGGCCGGGAGCCCGGACTGCTCAATGCTCACCACATCCGAGGAGAGGCTTCGGGGAGGGGGGGTAAGCGCAGGGTCAGGCCCCAGCAGCGGGCAGCGGCCCCCGCCCCTGGCCCGGCGTCCTCATCCTCTAGCGAATTGTGCGGCACAGCGCCCGCCAGCCTCAGTCCGCCTCCCGCTGCACCTCCGACGCGTCCGCCCGGCAGATGGGGCACGTGCGGTTCGCCTGCGGGCAAGAAGAGATGAGGGCAAGTGAGCGGGCACCCCATGGCACCACCTGCACCCAGGGTCCATCCATCCCCCTCCCAAGACCCCACCGCGAAGGGCTGGAAGCACCCCGCAGTGTGCTGGATCAGGAGTGCCCTGATCCAGCCCAGCACGGTGCTTGGTCCCTGCTCCCAGCACATCCTGTGTCGTGTGGGCATCGAGGCCACCCGAAAGGCACCCTGTGCCCACAGCACCCCAAGGAGCCACCCCGCTCCCCCGTCCCCGACAGGCACGGGCAGTACCTTTAACCATTTGTCGACACACTTGGCGTGGAACTCGTGGTTGCAGGGCAGGACGCGGAGAAGCTGCCGGGCCTCGAAGTCGCTGAAGCACACGACACACCTGGGGGAGGCAGCCCTCAGTACAGCCCCCGCTGCGCAGCCACGGCCCCCATCCCCCCACACCAGGCACCCCCATGTCCCCCCCAGTCTGCACCCCGGGCTCACTCACAGGGTCTGCTCGGACTGGTGGCTCTCGGGGTTGAAGCGGTAGGACGGGAGGTGCTCGATGTCTGCTTTGGTGAGTCCCCGCGGCTTGGCCTCCCCCAGCCGCTCGGCCAGGTTCAGCAGTGCCTGGAAGGAGACACAGAGACCGGCTCAGCTCAGCTCATGATCCCGGCACAGCACCCCTCCAGGCTCTCCCCACCCTGGCAGAGCGATCCCCAACCCCCTTCCCCATCTCCCCCACCCCACCACCCTGAAGCAGAGCCGACCCACCTCGTAATTCTCCATCTCCACATCGTCCACGTCCAGGTCTAGGCTGATCGTGGGCCCCACAGCCGTCGGCGACACGGGAAGCATAGAGCTGGGGGGTAAGGACGGGGCGGTCGGCATGGGGCTGCAAACCCCAACCTTCCACCCTGGCATCCCCCCCAGGGGGGAAGAGCCACCTGTGCCAACACCGCACCACTGTGCCCCCCATCCGTGGTGCCACCCCTGCCCCACGCGTCCCGCCGTATCCCCCCCGGTACTCACAGGAAATAGGGCAGGAAGCTCGGGTAGTAGGGGGGTGGCGGCGGAGGGGGCGGCGGAGGGGGCAGCGCCTGCTGCAGCCGGTACCGCTGGGTGTTCAGCCGCCGGGGCATCATGTGGGGGTATGGCTGTGGGGAGAGAAGGGGCACTCAGCATCGTGCCAGCCCCAGGGCATCCCCCTTAACCCCTCCACGAGATGGGGACTCACCACGCCAAATGGCAGTTCTTGGTGCAGCGGGTCGTGGGGGAGGTAATGCAGCGGCACGGAGGGGGACAGCGTGGGAGCGTGGTGGGACGGGGGGTACGTGAAGCCTGCGATGGGGTGCTGCTCCCCTCGCAGGTCCACGTCATTGTCTATCCTCTGCAGAGGCTGCGGGGGGAAACAGTTGGGCCCAAATTACAACCCCACCCCCCCCGACACTAGCAGGACAGAGGCACCCTGGGCATCCCACCCATCACCCCCAAGCTCAGGTCATCAGAGGCTGCAGATGGACAAGACCCCAAGGTGGTCTCTGTTTGGCCACAGGGCACATCGTGTCCCCAGCCCGTACCCCCACCCCAACTCACCATGCGCGGGTGCTGGGCTTGGAGAGGTACAAACTGCCCCAGGGGGGCCATGTGGGGCGGCTGGTGGGGGGGCACTGGTGGTGGAGGGGGGTGCAGGATGTAATGGTCGCTGGAGATGATGGGGGGGAACGTCTGGTAGGAGACGGGGAGCTGTTGCATGGCGCATGCCTGGATCAGCTGTGGAGGACAGAGAGAAAATCAGGAGTCAAGACACCCACCACAGGCATGGGTGGAACCCT